GTTGTATGGGAGCGAAGCATCAGTTCAAACGGCTGATGTACTGCTGTTGATGATGATGATTGCTTAGCTGAGTTTAGCATAACGGAGACTCAGGTCTTCGAGCTACTGCAAGGCATCAATCCATCTAAAGCTTCCGGTCCTGATTCAATTCATCCGAAGCTGTTGCATGAATTGGCCACTGAACTGCGTGGTCCACTCACATGCGTGTTTTCAATATCGCTGGACAGTTGTATCCAACCTTCGGAATGGAAGGAGGCAATCATCTGTCCAATTTTTAAGGGCGGTGACAGCGCTCTGCCCGCGAACTACCGGCCTGTCAGTTTGACAAGCGTAGTAGTCAAGTTGTTTGAAAAGCTGATAAGGGATGCAGTGGAGAACCATCTGAATAGATGTAACCTTCTCAGTGTTGCGCAACATAGATTCCGCAAGGGATTTTCATGTCAGACTAGTCTACTTGTAGCTCATGAAAGCTGGGCCGAAGCGGTAGACAGTGGCCACGCTGTAGACGTGCTATTCGTAGACTTTTCGAAAGCTTCTGACACTGTTCCACATCTTCGGCTCTCGCTAAAGTTGAGGTCTTACGGGATATCTGGTCGCGCCCTTCAATGGGTGTCTGCCTTCCTTGAAGAGAGGGAACAGTGCGTACGGGTGGGGCGTAGCCTTTCGCTCAGGCAAGTCGTCCAGATTCAAATGAATTGGAACGATAGGAAAGGCCCTTGAGTGTTCCTTCTTGAGCAAATCGCTGAGCCAGGAAATGATAAGGTGCTAGGTCTTGATAGATCTAAAAGGAAACAACCGAAATACCCTGGTCAACTAATTACTGCCCGCGTTCCCTGCACTAGCAGTCCCCGCTGTGTAGGTTAGGTTAAGAAGAAATAGAAAGTAAATGGAAGATAAAGGGGAATGAAAGTCATTTAAATGAAGGATAACACTAAAGAGTGAAGAGAATGACAGAATATGAACTAAAAGTTTGAAGATGGATATGGTCAGGAGAAAGGAAAGGTTTCGTGTTGCCAACCAAGAGCGACTAACTGACGCTCGAAACCCTTAACCGTAGCTTCACTGACTACACTTTCTGGAAGCGAGTTCCAGCGCTCGATAACTCTACGCGATAACCGAGTTTCCGCCCTGATCCGGTCAGAACGCGGCTTGTGTAGCTTCATGGGATGACCGCGAAGACAAGGCAACCTAGCCGGATTAAATAGCCAGCTCAAGTCCGGCCCAACGTTCCCTGTTAAAATGCGGTAAGGTTTATGTCTCCTCGAAGCCGTCGGTAGCGCATTGAATACATACCCAAGCTAAGTAGACGATCGGGGTACCATTGCCCCCGTAATCCCACGACCAATTTGGGACCTACTCTCAAAACCCTCTTGAGCTCCATGTTGTCCCGAACTAGGCAGGGAGGGCAAGCCTGGACGCAGTATTCCAGATGGGGCCGAACGAAAGCTGAGAACAGCTTCACAAATATGTCGGCAATTAAGACCCCGAAAGAACGGTGTGTTAACCACAATATTCTGAAACCCCTACTAGCGGCCTTGTTCCAGTTGTCACCAGAATGCAAAGACGAGGAATTGACGACGCCTAGATCTACCTGGTTGGACACAAGGGGGGCTCGACCCCAACAAGTACGTATCTCGAAGGCGGGAAAGTTGCTCCTATACGAAGGACAGAATACAGCCTGATTAATGGGCCGTAGCCACAAAGTAGACCCGTCCCAGAGTCTGTCCAGAGCATGCTGTATGGCCTCAGAACCCCCAGGAACATTTACATTCCATCAGCAAACAGTAGAGATGACACCTCAAGCTCTCCAGGGAGATCGTTTACGTAGATGGAAAACAGTATCGGTCCAAGGACCGAGCCCTGTAGGACACCGCTAAGGACCGCTTGCCTAAAGGATAAGCTGCGACCCACACGTACACACTGCTCTCTTCCCTGCAAGAACGCAAATACACAATGAAGGGCGCGGCCAGATACGCTGTAGGACCTCAGCTTTTGTGATAGCCTCAAGTAGGGTACCTTACCAAATGCTTTCGAGAAGTCTACGAAAAGCACAGCCACTACATGGCCATTGTTCACTGCCTCGGCCCAAGCTTCACGAGCAACCAACGAATTCGTCAGACACGAAAACCCTTTCGGAATCCGTGTCGTGCACTACTGAGTAGATTAAATCTATTTAGGTGACGTTCCAACAAATCTCTCACCAGCTTTTCAAGCAGTTTGACCACGACGCTAGTTAGGCTGACTGGCCTATAAGTGGCTGACCGACTCCTGTCGCCATTTTTGAAGATAGGACAGATGACAGCCTCCTTCCATTCAGAAGGTAATGTACAGCTGTCAAGTGACTTCTGAAACACCATCGTCAGTGTTCCACCGCCAACTCATACAGAAGTCTCGAGTGAATTGAATCAAGTCCAGCTGCTTTGGAAGGGCTGTTCTTGCAGCAGCTGAAGGACTTGAGTTTCCACCACAGTAAAATCAGCCAAATAAGAACCCTCAAGTACTCTGGGGACAAGTTCAACGCTGGTCAACGCGGCCTCACGTACAAAAGCCTCTGCATACTGCTCCCCAAGCACACGAGCCTTATCTGAGTCCGCATACGCACGATTTCCATCGGCCCGCACCAAAGTTGGGATTGCCGAATTTGAACCACAGCGTCACTTAACATAAGCCAAGAATTTCATCGGATTTTCCAAAGCTCCAACAGCCGAGCTTTCCTTAAGTGTTGTTTACACCTATTTCTAGCTTTGCGATATCTATCATAGGTGCTAGTTGATGGAGGCGCATGGTAGGTCCTCCAGCATCTAAAACACCTCTGGAGCAGGTACTTTTCAGTGGTATTTACCCACGGGGGCCGTGTTCGTGTCTGCTTTCTCCTCGAAAGCGGGATGTGGGGAGTAGACACTTCCGTGAGATAAGATTTAAATTTATCCCAGGCCGCCTGAACCGTATCAACCACCGAGATTTCGCAACGCAACCCAGAAGTGTCCTTAGTGGCGTCCCGCAGGGCTCGGTATTGGGGCCATTGTTGTTCGCGATCTATGTAAATGACTTGCCGGGAGAGCTAGGGGTGTCATCACTAATGTTTGCTGACGATCTTAAGCTCTGGAATACCGCGGATATCTCGGGGGGTGGGGTGGCTGAAGCAATTCAGCATGTCTTGGATAGGCTCTGGAAATGGTCTTCCTTATGATTGATGCCCATAAATAGGGCGAAGTGATCTGTTCTCCCAATCGGAGCCGCTAATCCTCCCACCTGATATGTTGTCCGCGGTGGTGAACTTACTGTTGTCACTCAGCACGTTGATTTAGGGGTCGTACACGCATCAGCACTTCATTCAGGCGACAATTGGAAGAACGCTGCTTGCCGAGGGTTTCGTATGATGTGGTTTATCCGCCGCTCTTTCGAAATCCTAACGGCCAATCTGTTTGTGAAGCTATTCTCGGCATTCGTCTGACCCCACCTGGAATATTGTATTCAGGCTTGTCCACCATGTCTTAACCGAGATAAAATGGACTTGGAGAGGGGGTTACGTGTGGGCACTCGGTTAGTGCAGGGTCTACGGGGACAGACGTATCCTGAACGCTTGTTCAGTTTGGTGATGTACTCAATGCACTGCCGAACGATAAGAGGGGACCTGATTCTCACTTATCGTATTTTGATGGGTAAGATTAGCACGGACTTGTCAAGGCTGTTTAGTCCAACTACGTTACCTAATCTCCGCGGTCACACACCGAAACTGCAAAAACGACGGTGATAGGATTAGGACGGAAACTCGTCTATCGCGCCAGTTATAAATCGCTGGAATTCGCTTCCAGATCACGTGGTTAGGGAACCTAAGATTAAGGGTTTGGCACGCCAGCTCGATGCTCTTGGGTGGCAACAGCAAACCTTTCCTTTTTCCTAGCTGACTCACCTTCACTGTTCAGTTCTTTTTTAATGAATCAAATATCTTGGTATTCTACTTTCTTTTTGCCTTCTGAGTTCACTTTGTTCTCTGACTTACTTCACGTAACCGGCCCAGCAGGGACTGCTAGGGCGGGATACGTGGGCATTAATTGGTTGGACAGAGTGATGCGGTCTTTGTTTTAGGTCCATCAACTCCTGGTTCAACGACCCGCTGAAGAAAGAACACTCACGGGATAATCCTATCGTTCCAGTCCCGCTTGAACTTGAACGTCGCCATGGAAACGGTACAGTGTGGCCTTATGAGGGATTGTAGCAGATAGGCGTCCGGTGCGTGTCGCGAGGGGGCTGCGGATGGTTTTACTTCAGTAGCACGTCGGTCGCTGTCAATTAAGATGGGAATAATAGAAGGAAGGTTGATAATGGGGGTCGAGATGGGAGAAAGAGAAACAGGTGGAAAAGAAAGGCGACAGCAGTACCATGTTTTCGCTTATCCGCCCTGCTGTATGCAGCAGATAAGGCGACCCTTCATAATCTGCGCGACGGCCGATGCAGGATGGAGTTTATGTTTGCATAAAAAGCTGGTTGTATGCGGGCTGTGATACTGCCAGGGCGCTTCGCAAGGCAGCGGGGAGGTCGCAATGACTTAGTCTTAAAGAAATGGACACCATCATATTTCAAACTCTACAACCTAAAGGACCAGGAGACTGAGTTTGTCTAACCTCACACCATTGACCAATTTGACATGAATATCTCTCTGGATGCCCGCAGGCCCAGTATAGCTCAATGGGTCAAGAAGGTACGAGAACCGTCGCGCTACGTGAAGGTAAAGACTCGTTGCGACGGAAATGATACTACGGCAATAAGGCACTTCGTGAAATGATTTGTCCGTAACTATACGCAAACGTTGAAGGACGCTTGCGACCCTAGATAACTAGGCAGTGAACATAACAGTGGCTAAAGAGTACGACAGACAAGCAGGTGTTACTTTAATGCACAAGGCAACCCATCCAAGTGAGTAAAAAATGGAATTAATCAGTTAAAATGGAACCGCAGTAGTTAGGTTTGCCAGGCACCCGGCTAACGCAAGAATGCTTTGGTCCAGAAAGAATATATTGTTAGTTACTACACAGAATCTACTCGCGGTGGCTCGTAATGTTCGGGCCGGGTGACGCTTTCTCCGGGTGCAGAGCCAGTGGATTCGCCGTGCAAGTCCATTAAGCGACCAACTAAAAAAGGGTTAGTACAACAAATAATAGCTTACTGTCTAATCTGGGTTTTTTTAGTACTTTAACTTTGCGAATGATAGTATCCGTCTGAGGGAAGATCCAAGAAGCCGCTTTGCGGGCATCTTGTGCTATGGAATCTGGAATTCTGCCAAAATGTCAGAGATCGACAAGGAACATACAGTTTATTTACAACCTCTTTCAAATCACAGGAAGATACTTCTTGCTGAATCGTCTCTACAAGACGGGCACGGACTCGTTTGATGCGACTGGATTGTGCGTACGTGTGTTTGCTTTCAGCACGGCCAGCACGAGGAGTGAAGGAAATGATAAAAAACCGAAGATGATAACCATCAGTAGTTTTAACGTCCACATGTGCTTCGATTGTCGAACGCCATTTGAGCACTATGGAGCACAACTTGTCACGCGTAATTTCCAAGCCGTGAAAATTCGTAAGACAATGGCGTCCTTGAACATCTTCAACTTGCAGCTTAAACTTCCTGAAAACTTCTTCATTTTTCTCACTTAAATCGCCCAGGCTAAGCGTGACGACACGGCCCTTGAGGGCTTCACTTGCAATCTTCGTCCCCTGTGTCCGGGTGACGAGCGTTCTAGCACACGTGCGTTTCGTAAACATCGACGGTGCTTTTATATCGTACCATTCCTTCTTAGTAAATGGATCAGCACTAAAATTAGTAAAAAACAAAATAAGTTACGTCTTCTTCTTTCCGCCTTTCTTTCCACCTTTTTGACCACCTTTCTGACCACCAACTGCCATTGCTGAAACCGAGAAGAATGCGCAGATGACACAGAGTACAAATGGAACTCAGGAGCGGCGCATACAAACAAAGTGTACTTTGCTACAAAACCATTAAACTAAAACATGTTAAAACCTAGATAAGACCGGTTTACATCTGCTTACTAAAACTGACAGTTACACATATTGCCGAATTACAATTGGATTTGTAGGCCAATGGCTGTAGAAATTGTGCAGTCTGCATTCCTAGTTTTCCTTGTATCATTTTTAGCATTGTATGGTAATGAGCAGTAGGAGAGTCCTTTATCAGCTCCGTCGATTCCCGTTCATTCCAGACATTGCTTGGGTCATTGGGAAAATGAGGTTTGTTGGGCGCAGTCTGGGACAACAGTCGGTGAGGAATGACACGTTAGAGCCGTGTCACATACGGGACATTATAGAACCTGAAGGCGGCAGAACCGAACGTAAATTGTGCAAGCTGCAAAAAGAGGAAACGAATCAGCCAAAGCGAAAAACGGTGCGGCAAGGTACTCACCAAAACGCTGTTTGTTAACGAATATACAGTCAGTAAAACAAAAAGTCTTTTTAAAGTTAAAATAACCGTAAAATCCGGTTGCAAATACTGAAACGGCGTGTTTTTCGGTACATTACAAGTGCTTCTTCCTAAAAGGCTGAAGGATGGAAGCCTTCGATGGAGCTGTCAGTGGGGGTAAACGGAAAGGTTGGGTACGAATAGTTGCATGGCCTTGAGTAGAGTCCTCCAAAGTGGGATGTGTAGCAGGGCTCGCTGGGTCCAGGATTTGGCTTGTTATTAGGTATGCTGGTTTTGTGCACTAGAGTGCATCATCGGTGGGCCGTCGGGGAGGGCTGGTCAGACTGCAACAGCTGGCTAGTCCAGAAAACGGCCGACGGGACCTTCACTTTAGTGCAAAGCCGACGGTGCGCTTGGGAGGTCACGCACCCGCCGCGCTTTAGCCCACGGTCGTCTTTCTATGAAGAAATCCGGGCGTCCTCCTCTCACGAAAACTCCTCCGTCCGCGTTGGCAACGCCTAGCTAGGCATTTAGGGACCAACACTTCGTGGCTGTCTGCGGCCGAGTGCGACTGACTTCTTTGGGTCAGGAAGGAATCTTTGGATAGGCCGGCGGGTCACTCGCGGGTTTCGTTGATCCGGTTGTCAAGTTATTCGAGGGTTACCTTGACAGGCAGTTCCGGTGGTTGAGTTTCTGGAATGTAGAACGCAGTGGCGGTTGGCAAGGGTCGGTGGAAGTGGTTTGAGGCCGGAGAAAGAACACGGCATGCCTAATGAAAACAAATAGGCTCGTTTGTATGTTTTCAAAACGTTTTGTGGTTTTTTGTCGATTTTGTAAAACGTTTGGGAACAAGACGCACGCTAACCATTAGGGACCAATATGGAGTGTTACTAGAAATAGAAAACGTTTACCAGAGCTGAAAATGGACCGGACGTTTGACCTGTCTACCGCGTCGGTCGGTTGCCTGGGGTTGAGGCGGGATAGGCTGAGGTTCAATGGGTACGGATGGTTTCGGGCCATCCAGTGCTCGGGTTGTCACCACAGGTGTGTTAGTGCTTGTGTGAAAGCATCAAGATGGGCTTAAATTGGCTTGTCAAACAAAGCCACTTTGAGTCGGTCGTTGTTCGAGGACCATTCTGGTCTAACGTAAAATGTTTCGGAGTCCAGTGAAGAACACTGAAAGGGTCAGTGTAGGGAGACTGGAGAGGGCGCCGCACTGCGTCAGTGCGGCAGAAGACGTGAGTGCAGATAGAGAGTCCGCGGTGCATTCGCACATCTCTAGTCTGTTCACGGGGCGGAATCGGGCGTAATGAACGCATGCGTTGAGCTAAGGAGGTCGCAAAGTTAAGCAGAGGTATGCCCGACGACGCGCCGTTGAAACGAACGCTTCTGGTAACTTGAGCTTTGTGCCGTAAACCAGCTCTGCTGGTGCACATTGCAAGTCAGCGTTGACGCTTCTGCGAATGCCTAAGATTACAATCGAAGCGTTTTCGCTCCAGCTGGGGTCGGAGGAGGCGCAGAGCGAGGCTGTAAACTGTCAATGGAAGCATTTAACTAATCCCTTGCTGCTGGGTGAGACGCTGTGATATGAATGCGACGACTGGCTAAAAGCTGCAGCACGTATAGAATTGTGAAGTTTCAAAAGGCGTTCCTCGGTCAGTTGTAACGGTGGATTGGCATCCGTAGTGCGAGACCCAACAGTCCACGAAGGCCCGGATAACAGTCTCAGCCGTGCAGTCTCTTACAGGAATGGCTTCTGACTATCTCATGAAGCGGTCGACAAATGTAAGAATGTATAGGAATCCGCGTGAAAGGGGCACGTGACCTACCGGGTCTACGTGTACATGCGAGAACCGAGAGTCCGGGGAAGGAAATCAACCAAGTGGACTGCGGATGTGACGAGGTATTTTGGAGCGCTGGCATTGAAGACAGGCGCCAGCCCAGGTACGAACAACATTGTTTACACGTGGCCAAACCAAACGTTCTGGATCGGTTGCAAAGATGCACGTATATCTGGATGTGCTAGCGAGTGCAGTGAGTCAATGCCTGTGGGTCTGAAGGAGACGGGCACGAGGGGTCTAGGACAACCTGTGGAAGTGTCACAGAGAATGGTTCCTTCCGTGGTTTGGAGAGGAACAGGTTGCACATGCAGCAACGTGGACTGCACAGTGCGCTGTATGTCCGCGACTTGAGCCTAAGCCGATGCCATGGAGGCAAGGTTGACGATAGGAAAATAGTAGAGATTGTGATTGGCGCGTGAGAGAGCGTCGGCAACGAGATCGTTGACACCTGAGACATTACGTATGCCAGCAGGGAACTGCGTGCCAAAGTCCAGGTGTCTTGTTTCCCGTCGTGATATTTTGTCCCCAGCAGCGTTGTAGGCGAAGATGAGGGGCTTGTGGTCAGTGTAGACCGTGAAAGCGCGGCCTTCGAGTGTGGGCCGGAAGTGAAGAATGGCTCGATAAATGGCGAGCAGTTCTCTGCTAAACGTGCTGTAGCGGGATTCCGCTGGCTGCAGGCGCTTGGAGACGAACCCAAGGGTTTGCCATGGCCCACTAAAGTGTGGTTGGGGGACGGCTTCCACCGTGACGTCTGAGGCACCAGTCGTGATAGAAAGGATTTGCAGTCGGTTCGGAATGAGCGAGGAGGGCTCTGTTGGAGATAGTCTCCTTGAGCTCGGTGAAGGCTGTTCGTGCTGTGTCAAGGAAGCGAACTTACGTTTGTTACCTCTGAGTAGGTCGATCAGTGGCTGTATGGGCTGATCACAGCGCGGAATGAAGCGTCGAAAGTAGTTGCTCAAAGCACAAAATCGACGGAGGTGCCTGAACGAAGTTGGAGCTGGGAAGTCCTTGATTACCTGGAGGTTATCAGGAAGGACTTCGAGACCAGACGATGAAACGAGGTAACCCAGGAATTCTACTATTGATTTGCCTAGCTCGCACTTAGTCGGGTTAACTGTGACACGGTGTTGGGTCAGGCGCTGGAAGAGAGTTGGAAGGTGCTCGAGACACTCATGTTCCGAGGAACTGGTGACTACAATATCATCGAGGTGGGAATAAGCCAAGCCAAGGCCACGAGTGACAGCGTGGATGAAGTGTTGGAAAGTTTGTGCGGAGTTGCACAGTCCAAATGGCATTCTTAAACGTCAACCAAGCCGAAAGGAGTGATGGCTGCTGCTGTAGGAATGTCATTGTCTGCCACAGGTAGCTGGTGGTAGGCGCGAACCAGGTTGATCTTCCTGAAGGTTGTCTTACCTGTGAGGCATGCAGTAAGGTCCCATAAGTGTGGGTTGGGGTACCTAACTGGGACGGTTAGACGAGTAAGTGCGAGGTAATCACCTCAAAGGCACTATCTGCAGGGGCGGGGACCAAGGGCTGTCAGAAGGTAGGATTATTCCAAGTTCAAGCATGCGCTCAAACTCCGCCCTAGCTACCTTCAGTTTCCCTGGCGATAGTCGGCGTGCACTGCATGAGACGGGTAGGCCACTTGTCCGTATGTGGTGCGTGACTTGGGATGCCACGAGCAAAGCTGCGTTCATTGGCTGGACGAGGTTCGAATATTGAGCAAAGAGGTTGGCGTAGTCTGGGGAGGTTTGGGGTAATGCATAGACCGGCGTTATAGATCCCATATCGGCGGTGATGTTACGTACGCTGAGTTTCGTTGCAGTGTCGACTAGCACCTGGCGTTTTGCACCGCTCAACGGGTCGAAAGACCTGCGAAAGTCAGTGCCAATGGGACTGCAGCGACGGTGAATACCCAGTGGAACCTGCGCCGAAGATCCAGGTCCAGGGTAAGCGACCGGTGACCGTAGGTGGCTATTGGCGTGCCAGTAGCGGCACTCAGGCTTGTCGAGGAAGAAGCGAGAGGCTCACCTGGTATAGGGGTAATGACGCTGACTTCCGCCCCCGGTATCAACTTAGAACTGAGTCTCGGAGTCAAAATCCCTAATGTAGACGAGCCGACTTTGGGCTTCGCCGTCACCGTTAGTCGTCATTACTGGAGGGCCTGCATGTCGGCGAAGAAACTGCATGTTTGCTCGCACCTAAGGGCGTTATTACCCAACCTAGAGTGGTAAAAACGAAATCCTGCATTGTTAGGCTTCTTGCGGCGAGGCGGGGAGCTGGAGCGGCTGAGCTGCTTACGATCTATGAAGAGTTTCTCGGCGGCGTTTTAATGACGTTTTTGCGATGACAGTTCACCGACTGCCGACGGCTCACTAACCTCCTATGTCGCTGGTGCTGCGACGGGGCTAAGTCGAGTTAAGTTCCTAACTTCGTTCGTTGGCTGATGTCGTTTGATGACACGGTCTGCTAGTTCTGCAACTGCTGCGAGAGGCAGAGCGCCTGTCGCGGAAAGTATAACTTGTGTGTTTCCCGGGAGGCGTTGCATCCACATTTCGCGGAGATTACTTGGGTCCATGCTGGATGTGCCTAGGTGCTGTTGCCTTAGTCGCAACAAGACTGAAGGCATCCTGTTTCCTAGCTGCATAGCTCTGAACAGTTACTGCAGGCAGACCTTGTCAGAGGGCGTGATTCGCTGAATAATCGCCTTCTTCGAAGTCT